TTACAATCCTTGACTAGCTTTAATTTGACTTCCAGCCTCATTTGCTGAGGTCTTGAGCTCCCCACCCTCACCCTCACCCCCACCCATGCCAAAGAAGCCAGGACACCAAAAAACAAGCCAGAGAGCTTCAGGGTCAGGGCAATTCTTAGAATCACCCTGAGAAATGGCCACATAGAAGCACACTGCTCACACTACTGAACACAGAAATGACACAGAAACACACACACCTGCTCATCATGAGTCTAACAATCATAGACTATCATTGAAACCTGATGAATCTATCCTCAAGACAATCTAGAATTCTTCTCCATAAAGGAAGGACCACTTCTCTATCCAAACTGGTGCTGTGTCATTTGGTAAATGACAAAGATCCTTTGCCTGGCCAACTTTAGTCAAAGCTTCTGCATCTCCTCCCAGACCCATCTGTGCATTTCTTTAATATTATTCTTTTTAGCTGAAAAACCCAGCACAGTCAGTTTACTCAGTACACCCTATCTTCCTGATATGACCACTCTCAGTATCTAATCTAATCAAAATCCCCAGCCTACAAGATCTCCCATCTGTCTAACTGCCACAGCCTGTCTTCAGCAAGAATTGTGGCAGGCATTTTACCCAGAATCACCCCTACTCCTGATGTTACCTTTTGGCAATTTACCATCCACAGTTCCCATACTGCTTCGTGTCTATAAATTCTCACTTGCCAATTGCTGTCTTGGGAGTCAAGCCCAGTGTTCCTCTTTCATGGCAAGACCCCCATACTTGCAGTGAAGGTCCTGATGAAAATCTCCCATCCTTTAATTAGTGCCATTGGATCCTTTTTAGTTTGATATATGTGGAGGTAAGTGTTATATGCATCTTGGAATTTAAGCGGAGAATGCAGAAAAACCCATTAATGAGTGCTTTGTTATAAGCAATCAACTCCAAAAATGTTACTGAATATTCATTACTTGGAATGTTTTGGAGTTTTTAAAACTTCTTATTTCAAAACTCACATTACAGCTGAGCATCCATGACTCTCACCTATAATCCTAATTATTCAGGAGGCTGAGATCTGAGGACTGAGGCTTGTAGCCAACCCAGGCAGGAAAGTCTATGAGACTCTTTTTTTTTTTTTTTTTGCCAGTCATGGGGCTTGAACTCTGGGGACTGTCTCTGATCTCTTCAGCTCAAGACTAGTGCCCTACCACTTGAGCCACAGCACCACTTCTGGCTTTTTCTGCCTATGTGATGCTGAGGAATCGAACCCAGGGCCTCATGCATGCAAGGCAAGCACTCTACCACTGAGCCACCTTCCTAGCCCTATCTATGAGACTCTTATCTCCAATTAACCAACCAAAAGCCAGAAGTAGAGGTGTGACTCAACTGATAGTGAAGTAACCTTGAGGAAAAAACAAAAAACAAAAACAAAAACAAAAAACTAAGGGATAGTGCCCAGGTCCTGAGTTTAAGCACCAGTACTGATAAACACACACACACACAATCAGGTTAGCAGCCTTTTTCCAAATATTTCATAATTCTGAACTACTCTCTTATTCAATGCCTTGAATTAAGATCTTAGAAAGACAGAGAAGGTAGCATTTGAAAACAAAAATTCAACATTTCTATTGTAAATTCAGATTTCACGTCTTCTTTGTGGTTCCCGAAAGGAAGTGAGACAAGCCAGGTGCCAATGGCTGTAATCGTGGCTACTCAGGGGGCTGAGAGCTGAGGATTACAGTTCAAAGGCAGCCCTGGCAGGAAAGTTGGTGAGACTGTTATCTCCAATTAACCATTCAAAAACAAATCGTTTAACTAGGGATACAGGTGGACCCATTTGCAGCCATGAGATGTACAAGTCGTTATGTCGAAAACGAACTTTACAACTTAGGTGGGGGGGGGGAGGGAAGAGGATTGGGTGGGGGGGGTGGAGGATGGAAGGGATGGGAAAAGGAAACAAAGGAGGAGGCTACAATGCTTGATAAGAAATGTACTCATTTTCTTGCCCATGTAATTGTAAACCCTCTGTACAGTATTTTCACAATTAAAAAACAAAAAACAAAAAAACCAGCAGTGGCGCTGTGGCTCCAACTGGTAGAGTCTTGAACAAAAGAGCTCAGGACAGGCCCAGACCCTGAATTCTCATGACCGGGGTAAGAAGGAGGGAAAAAGGGAGTCTCCAACTCCTAGGAGTATGACCTGTCCATCCACCTGAAACCCAACACTACCACACTGCCACATAAAGCTCTCGGTCTTAAGTAAGACAGGACTGAGGGAATCTAGTGTTGGCAAGGACTCATGTCAAACTCTCTTGGCCCTAAAACCATGCCTTTTTGGATTTGCTTACATATATAATAAAGTACTCAGCTTATATATTTTGCATTCATGTATTTTAATTGAAATCATTAAATTATAAAAACTATTCTATGTCATGTTATATTTTTGTCAAAGGATCATGGTGGCTACCTAAATTCAATATAGCAAATGGTACCACAGACCTTATCACGTGATGTGGGTATTCAGAAAAACATTTCACAAGTTGATTCTTTTTCAACCTGCACAAATGTTTTCACAATGTAAAATCAATTCAAAGCTGTTTGTCAAGATTGTCCCCAACATAAATCTCAAACCAAACTAAGAAAAGATTAAGATTAATAATTAGGATATAAACCTCTTTGAAGACTTGTTGTAACCTAGTATGATCAGGATCATAAAGGAAAAGCTCATTGGCTCTGACAACACAGTACTAATAAGATTTCAGCTTCTTATTCTTGAAAACTGACATACATAGAAACTTCCAGAAGCCCATCATCTAATAATTGATATCGCAGCTTTTAAACAAGGATTTGGTTGGCAGTGTTTGTCACCTGCCAATTTGTATGACATGATTAGGTTCAACAAGTCATTTTGAGAACTGCTACTTATTCTTATAGATATGAATAGCACTAATGTATATGTGGATTTCCCATTGTGGTAAGAGAGATCATCTAGAAACAATTAAACTTTATCAGCTTTCACTTCCATGCTACATTGTTGATGCAGGCATATTGGAAAACCTTTAGTTAGAGAAACTTCCTACAACATCTTCCCGTAGTTTTCTTTTGCAGTCTCTAAAATGATCATTCTCAGAGTTTCAACCTCTTTCTGAGAACTAGAGAGAAGTGACAATTTTCAAGTCTACCTCTGAACAGTCAGACCCTGAAAATATTGTGTAGCATGCTATTGTTTGAGTAAAAAAGATGTTCTCTTCCAATAAACAGAAGTATTTTTATTTTCCTTTTTGTCCGACAGTCCTGGAGCTTGAATTCAGGGCTTTGTGTTTGCTAGGGCAGGTACTTTCTACATAAGCCACATCTCCTACTTTAATTTGGTTTTAGATAGGATCTGGTATCATTTTACTATCTCCATCTTAAAAATACTTGGGATTAGAGGACTTTACTTTGCTTTACCTGGCCTGTATTTTCTTTTCTTTTGTAATACCAGGCATCAAACCCAGGGATTCATGCACACGAGGCAGGTGTTCTACCACTGAGCGACCCCCTGATTCCCAGTCTTCACTTTTGTAGCAATATTTCTCTCCAACTCAAGATGCTATTATACCTTATAGGACATGCAAGTGTTCCTTCTAGATGGTGTCTTTCTTTATAAACTTTTATTTAGTACAGGTTTTAGACCAAGACATATTTTTCTATTCTCATTAAAATATGGGTGTATATTTAATTAATGGTTTAAATTGTAAGGGGAAATAAATGTAATGAATCAAAACATTATGTTACAGAAAAATTTCAATAATCATGGAATAATTTCAATATTTTTTATAATCAAAGGAAATGGAGCTTATTTTACCGTTAGTATTTCCTGGGTCTGGAATTGTGCTTATCTATACAACCAGAGCTGTGTTTAACTCATGAATGAATGAAGATCACAAGTGATAGATAATCTGCACAATAACAAAGTTATCCTTAGGAATGGAGAAGAGATGAGCTAACCTACTTTGCCAATATATCTGAGAGTTAGCATGGTTGGGTTTGTTTGTTTTGAATGAAGAGAATTGAACCCAGAGCCTTCCATATACAGAAGGAATGCATTGTATTACAATGATATCCACTCAATTTCTATACGCATAGATATCAAGAATAGAGTTTCAAGCCAAGTGCTTTGGCTCCCACCTGAAACCCTCATTATACAGGAAGCATAAATCTAAGAGGATCACAATTTGAAGCGGATCTGGGCAGATTCCATCTCCAAAATAACCAAAAAGCAGAACTGGAAGCATGGCCCAAGTGGTAGTGCTGAACAAGCAAGTCAAGTATAAGACTCTGAGTTCAGATTCCAGTTCCACCAAAAAAGAAACTGACAAAAAAAAGCCCACTAGAATAAAATGAAAACAAAATAAAATATCCAATGCTTTGGGCAAAACATTTTCTTTACCAGGAAAAAAAAAGGATGCAGTATAATTTTGATTAATTTGATTTTTTTCTGAATTGCATTATTATGGTACATTTCTTTCAATTGTTCTTAGACTTATCTAAGGCTGTGAGAGGAGAATTTATCTCTTTTCTAGTTTCTAGTAATGCCTACATTTGGCTATGATATAACCTAGTGGGTGTGATTCTCACTTGGTATCAGATCCTCACTAGAATATTAATTTTTTAGTCTTTTTTTCTTTAGAATTGAAGAGAAAAATATTTTTATAGAACAACATGGAACTTACATGAATAATTTATATTTCACAGATGTCACCCATTCCTCAAAAAAAGTCACTTTATATTCTTCTTGTAAATAGGCAGGCGATAGTCTTTCATTTTTCAAGTACTTTGTTATATTAAAGGAGAGATCATAATATGTCAAAAAAATTTAATTGCATGAGCTCCAAAGAGAATTCATGTAGAACAAATAACAGAAATCTTTAAAAGTAAAATTATCTTCCCAGCATTATCCAAACCCTTTAGATCAATTTCCCCAAAATGGTTCTAATTTATAATTTATTCACCAAAAAAGGAACAAAAATCAGAATGTAATACCTGAGACTGTGCATTTATGTTGGCTCCTTCTTTAACAAGGACTTTGACAACCTCCGCCTGTCCAGCCAGAGAGGCGATGTGAAGAGCAGTGTTTCCCTTCTGTTTTGAAGAAACGGAATAGAAACGGTTAAAGGGTTCCAAATCTGATCAAAGTGTACTGGTATTTTGTCTGATAAAAAGCAGTCATTTTATTGTTAGCCCACCTCGTAATGGATTTTTTTAGCATCTCTCTCTACTATCTCTCCCTAAGACTGCTCTAGTGTTAAGAACATGGAAAGACTAAGTTCCTCTACATTAAAAGAGTGCAAGTGTGTGCATAAATGCATGTTCGTGTATATAAATATGTACATGGGAGGGTGAATGTGGGCATGTGAGTGTGCATACATGGGTGTATGCATAAAGGTGTATACATATGTGACAGTGTTTCATGCGATTTTCTTTTAATCACCAGCCAAGAAGGTCTAATGCAAAGAAAATTAACTTTTAAAAAAGTTTACAGCAACACTGATTTCATTTTGCCTTGTAAAGGACCCTAAGGAATCTTTGTGGTACAGAAATTGTCTTTTATTGAAGCTGTATTTCTAGCTACGAGGCTGTGCTGCTGCTCAGTTTGAAAAATGAAAAGAATAAATTTTGCATCAATCATACTGCTACCAATGATTCCCACCATTTGCTACACCAGAAGTTATCCTACAACAATCACAAATGAGAAATGATTTAAATATTTGTGAAAATATAAATAGACCAAGAGATTAAAAATACTTGTGAAGTAATTAAGGCAAAACGAAACAGAAAGAAATGAGAAGTGAACAGAAATCTGTAGATTCTACTTCACGAAGTTCTAATTCTATTATGAACTGACTTACTGTGGAACCACTATACAAAAAATATTTTTTCAAACATCAATACCAGTTTAAATGTATCTTAGCAAAAGCAGTGTCAACCAGACATCGATAGTTTCTAATTATATCAAATATGTTTTACACTTCTTTACAAACATCATAGTGATCAAATCTAATCTTACACTAATAATTCAATAAAAGACCCCAAAGCCTCTTTCTATTAGACTATAAAGGGTACTACATATTCCCATATCAACCAAATGAGCACAATAAAAGATACATGGGTTCAACTAAAGCATGAAACTTATATGCTCATTCCATTGAGAAGTTTATCCCATCATTTATTTAAAATAAATTTACCAGCCGGGTGCTGGTGGCTCACACCAATAACCTAAAGCTACTCAGGAAGCTGAGATCTGAGAATTGCAGCTCAAAACCAGCCCAGGAAGGAAAGTCAGTTAGACTTTATCTCTAATTAACTACCAGAAAACCAGAAATGGCTCTGTGGCTCAAAGTGGTAGAGCACTCGCCTTGAGGGAAAAAAAGAAAAAAAAATGAGCTTAGGGATAGTGCCTAGGCCCTGAGTTCAAGCCCTATGACAGACAACAAATTAATTAATTAATTAATTGACTTTAAGTGAATTACCTTAGGGGAACAGATAGTACTATCTACAAAGGAAAATGTTAATCTAGCCTTCTTTGTGAATCCAAGGAGGAAAGACAATACATTAGAAAACAAATTTACAAATTGATTCTCATATCCAAGTACTTAAAAGAAGCCATATAGACTCTGCAAAGTTCAGTGGAGAAGATTTAAAATTTATCGCTCTATAGTTGACAAGCTCAGTGTCCTAGTAGACCTCTGAAATAAACAACAGGAGAAGGACACTTTAAATCACTTCCTATCCTCTAAAGAAAATGAGTTTGTCGTGGCATGAACAGCACCATACCTTAGTAGCAGAATCCACAGAGGACCCTCTGCCCAGCAGCTCCTGGACCAGCCCCACGTGGCCTTCCTTGGCAGCCAGATGGAGAGCATTGAGTCCATTCTGAGAGAAGAACAAGAAAGCCTCAGAATTAGAGACATGGGGAGATAGCACACCCATTCCACTCATACACACAAGCCAGAGGACTGGGCAAATTCTGGTCCCTCCTTTTCCTTGTAAGTTTTACATTGACTTGAATCTATTTAATTCAGACAGACTGATTTTCAGCGTATGTGATTTGGAAAAATAAAAAGGTACGTGTTCATTTGGCAACTTCAATTCAAGAAACTTTGATTTCATGCAGCAATATCTCAATACTTTTCCAACAAGTTTTTTAAAAAAAAATAGTAATCCTGTATCATTTGTTGTGCTGGCCAAAATTAGAATTCTCTGTCCACTTTCTGGGACATCTAGAGATTTAATAAGTCTTACTTTTTAACAAGTGGCAGAGGATTTTTCCCATTTATAAAAAGATTAAAAAAGACTCAATTTTTAAGGCAACACACCTGTAGTTGTAACACTATACTTGAAACACATTTAGCATTATGTCACTAAATGACCTTTATTAACATTAAAATTTATCTTCTGATCTCTGATATATTAAAATGTATAGGTCTCATCTACCCAAACAGTACTGAATGAAGTCATGTGGTCCATATTTCCTTAACCTGACCTGCTAATTCAACGCAATCCTTGTCAAATAACAATGAAATTTTCGCAGAAATATGTATCCAAACAAACAAAAATGAAAAGACAAAGTAGCCTCCTAAAACTCATTTGAAATGACAGAAGACTCAAACTAGCCAAAGCAATCTTAAAGAAAGTGAACAAAGCTGGAAGCATCACACTAAAACATATGATACAGTTCAAAGCATATGTATTATAATAATCAATGTTGCAGGATACTGCCATTAAAAACACAGAGACTTATGGGAAAGAAAGAACACAGAGCCCAAAGATAAACTAATGCATCTATAGTCAACTGGGTTTTGACAAAGTTGCCAAGAGCACATATATCAAAAAGATAGTCATTTCAGTATACCCAAAAAAAAACGAAATATCTGCAGGCTAACAATCTCGGCAGTGAAAAAAATCAATTCAAAATTATTTAAAGACTTCAAAAATTATAAGACTCCCAAATTATAAACCCACCAGAAGAAAACGACACTGCTTTGCATTTCTTGAAGAAAATCTGAAAACCATAAGGGTAACATAGGTAAAAATAGTCAAATGTCATTACGTCAAGCTAGAAGGGTTCTGCATAACAAAGGAAATAACAGACTGGAGGCAACTTATGAAATAGAAGAAAATATTTGCCAATTATACATCTAAGAAATTCACTCTCTAGGGATAATGAGTGATCCGAAAGATTGTTATATGATCGGAAGATTGGTATATGTATATGTTAAATGAATGTTCTGGACTGGGAAGTTGGCTCAGTGGTAGAGTGCTTGCCTTGAATGCATGAGGCCTTGGGTTCAATTCCTTAGCACCACGTAATCAGAAAAAGCTGGAAGTGGCTCTGTGGCTCAAGCAGTAGAGCACTAGCCTTGAGCTGAAGAGCTGAGGGCCAACGCTCAGGCCCAGAGTTCAGGCCCCAAGGTTGATCAAAAAAAAAGAGAGGGAGACAGAGAGAGAGAAAGAAATGAATGTTCTAAGTATTAGTACCACATTGTTTGTGTAAAGGACAAGTTAGGATTACAGATACTTTCTTCTATGCTATTTTCCTTCATTGTGTTCAGTTATTAGAAAGGGTACTCATCTATGTTGACTGTTTTGGCAACTTTGTGCTACTAACCAAGAGTGTCCAGAACCATACAGTCAGAATATTTATTTTTTTCTCTTTTGCCTTCAAAGAAAATAGACTGGGCAGAAATACACGGTGGTGTTTTTCTAACCTTCACTATACTATGCACATTAGAAGCCTGTTAGTTTTATTTTTCTTTATTGCAACCTTAAACATAAGCTTGAAAATATATGGCCTGAGTCTTTTCTAAGACAAGTTATATGTAATAGAGACTTTGACTTGTTATTCCCCAGATTAATATCAGGATAGATATTCAATTAGGTCACCAGAAAGCAATGTATCTGGAACACATTATCTCTGCTCCCTACAGAAATGTCTTCACTCCATTATGAAATATTAGTACACATTTGTTTTTTCCATAAGGTCAATACAAGAGATATTCATTGGAGCAACATCTATGACCCTATGTCTCTATGACATTGAATCTTTGGACTACTGCAAATCTCAGCAGTACAAAAAAAGTTTTAGTAATCTGAAAAGGTTCTTTGTTTCATTTTACTAGTCTTTAATTTTTTAAGGCACATCATTTAATATCCCTGTCTTTTTTTTTTTTTTTGCTACTTATCAGGAAGCAGAATAAATGCGGTCTTTGTATGAGTTAAGTAACTCCACAGTCATTTCCTTATTCCTCTTGCTTGGTTTTGTTTGTTCTCACATTGTTTTACTTGAAACAATGCTAGAATCACAGTGCATAGGAGTATGTGAGTGGATATGTTCCATTCACAATAATCGATTGCAAAAAAAAAAAAAAAAACTAGTCCTTTTATATCTGAAAATAGCCCAATGCGGGTGTCTCACCCTGGGAATTCTAGCTACTCAGAAAGCTAAGATCTGTTCGAAGTCAGCCCAAGGAAGGAAAGTCCATGAGACTCTTAATCTCCAGTTAACCACCAGAAAACCACAAGTGGTGCTAAGGCTAAAAAGGGTAGATCAATATCTTTGAGCTAAAAAAACTCAGGAACAACATCCAAGCCCTGAGTTCAAGTCCCAAGACAGATTAAAAAAAAAAAAAAAAAGCTCTATGCTAAGAACTCATCACACTTATCTTAGTATAATCTTGTACCTCCTAGGATTTATAGACAGTAATAACACTGTGTATCAGATGATAACTAATTCTAATCTGTACCACAGTGTCTCAAAATATGCACCCAAATTTTGGGTGGAAAATGATAGAAACAATATGATTTAAAAATTTAAGAGGAGGGGTTGGGAAGGTGGCTCAGTGGTAGAGCGCTTGCTTTGCATGCATGAGGCCCTGGGTTCAATTCCTCCGCACCACATAAGAAAAAAGCCAGAAGTAGCACTGTGGCTCAAACAGTAGAGTGCCCGCCTTGAGCTGAAGAGCTGAGAGACAGCGCCCAGGCCCAGAGTTCAGGCCCCACAACCGGACCCAAAAAAAAAAAAAAATTAAGATGAAAATCTAAGAATTGATTAAATCTAAAAATAAGAGAATAAATATTGGACTCATATTCTCAGCACACTAGAGAAAATAATTGTTTCATAACCCTACTGAATCAAATTTGAAGGAAAATAAATAGAGTAAAAAGATTTTCTAAAAGTCATTGAAAGCACATGCCACTATTGAGAACTGGATAGATTTCCTTTTAGCTAATAAAAGATCTAGTATGGGGAAACAAAGGAGGAGGCAACAATGCTTGATAACAAATGTACTCCCTATCTTGCCCATGTCATTATAACCCCTCTGTATGGTATTTTCACAAAAATAATTTTAAAAAGAAAAAAGAAAGAAAAAACGTCTAGTATTTCTTAGTTGGATACTATTGAAAATTCATGATTTTTTTTATTTTTTCTGTTGTCTTTCTTCTTTCTTCTTTTTCCTTTATATGATATTGGGGGCAATTACAGAAATATTAAAAGAATACAATCTGCTCTTGCTCTGCTACAAGTCAGTATATGATCTTTCTGCCTTCTAACAGCATCAACTAGAAACAACAATGATCACGATAATGAAAAACTACAGGAGCAGACCACTGGAACAATGTGATGATAGGTAAATTATTAAATCAACAATCACTAGTTACTGGCCAAACATCATTTGAGCTTCTTTACATATATTGTCATCCTAACCACTCCCTTTGAAAGTAGAAATGAATATAAGTTAACAGTCTAAGGAAGTCATCAACTCATAGCTATGTAAGATTTTAAGACTAGAAAGAAAGGATCTTAGAAGTCTGAAGTCTCAGCATACTGCTGGGCATATCTCTGAAGGAACATACATCAACATACACACAGACACATACACACCCATGTTTATTGTAACACTATTCACAGTAGTCAACTTATAGAATGGGCCTAGGTGTCCATCAAATAGTGAAGAAATAGAGAAAATGTTCTAGAGAGTAGATAGGTAGACAGACAGATAGACAAGAGAGAATGAGATATTGAAGCAGGCACTGGTGGTTTGAATCTATGATCTTAGCTACTCAGGGAGTTGAGGAGGCTGAGATCTGAGGATAGTGGTTCAAAGCCAGTCAGAGCAAATGTATCTGTGGGACTCTAATCTCCAATTTAAAAAATCTGGAACTACAGACATGGCTCAAGTGGTAGAGCACCAACCAATCAAGCAAGCTGAGTGAATCTGAAGTCCAGAGGTCAAACCCCAGTATGATCAACAACAAAAAAAAATACTGCATGTGAATCCAAACATCTCTGAATTAATATTAGCTTTCTCATCATCATGACAGGATTACAATCCAAACCAGACACCATAGTAAAGCTTAGACAAATAATTAAAAGTAAAGTTAGGTGGATGGCATTTAGTGTCAATTACTACTGGCTCCCATATCTATTCTCTCTACACAGAACACATTCTAGTGTGGGTATTGAATGCTTAACAATTTTCCACATGCCAAATGAAATAATCTTAGGTACATCATATGGATTGAAGTTACTCCACAAAATATTATTTCATAAATAATATCAAAAATAATCTTTTTTTAATATTGATTTTTAATTTCTATGATTCTGTCTTATTTTATTTAGTGTGGTATATTCACATATAAATCTTCAGGAGGGACAGGGGCTGAGTACATTTATTTTAATTTTAATAAGAAATAACCATAATAGTGATATCAAAAAACAGTAATTATTTTTACATTGGAACAGAATATTGAAATGAGTTATACAATATCATTGCTGGGGTTGAAGAAGTATTTTATAGGGTTTATTTTGAAGCACACTTATCCAAGGGTGATTGAATAATATCCAACAGACTAAGCATTGCTGACTATGAAGT